ATACCCAAGAAAGACGGAGGTAGATCATGGGGGGGGCTGACCATATATATATATATATACATATATGTATATACACATACACATACACAAGTGTACGTATATATTTGCATACATTATAAGGATGGACAGATAGATAGATGGATAGATAGATAAAGAGATAGATAGACAGATAGATCATAGATGGATACCCTGGTCCCTGCGCACCAGGATCGGGCAAATCACGGCCAGGTAGATGGCAACCAGCTTCGTCATCATCTTCATTATGAAGCACCGCTCGTCCGCGGCACTGCGAGAAATGACGATGAGAAGGGCGACCCGACAGAGGATGGGATACACCTGGAGCATGTAGTAGACCCACGTAGCTTGCGGTAGGTACTCGAAGTTGATACAAAAACTGAAAATCGACATGGCAGTGAAGGGAACCAATGCCAGAAATGGAACGGCGATCTCGGCATGGCCTGCATCCAGAATCCCAACACCTGCGCGCGCAACGTCCCGGAGCGTCGGTGTTGACATCCCAGCAGTCAAAAGCACCTGGATGGCGTAGTCTACGTCCTCTGTTTGGGCGCCGATCTCCTGGCTCCCCAGCAGGCGCTGAAAGAACGAATCTCCCCCTTCTATGGCTCAGCTTTAAAAGGGAACCCCACCAAAAGGAGTGCACTAATCTCGATACCCTGAACCACTCTAGACTCTAGACTCTAAACCTGCACCCTAAACTGCCCTTTACCCTGAATCCTGAACCCAAATCCCAAAACCCTGAACTCAGAACTACTGTAGGTCTCCGCATGAATCCGCTCGGCGTCGTCCAGCTTCGAGCATGTGGCATGCGCGATGGACCTAGGCTGTCCCAAGGGGTCATAGGCACCTCCATGGGCTCCTTTCCTTTTTGGAGGGTATTTACCCAAACCATGGTAGTAATTTAGTCAACTTAGAATCCTAACAAGAATCATCTGTTTAATAGTGAACCCCTTGGAGTCTTAATGAAACAAAAAACAACAAACTCCTGGTAACACTCGACCTATAGTCTCCATTGTAGTTCCTCTGTTGGTTTAACCAATTATGCAATAAGGAGTTTATAAGGTATCCCCAAAAAAGGAACTACAATGGAGACTATAGGTATTTGCCCAAACCATGGTCGTAATTCCGAATATAATAACCTTCACATTCTACTCTGTTAGGGGCTTTGGACCCCCTAGCAAAAACACACACTTACTTTTGTTTGTTTCAAGCCCTTTTTCTCCCCGATCCACTCTAGCGCGTCTCACACTTACGGTTTAGGGTTTAGGGCTTCCTTCATTTTAACAATGAAGCGAAGAAAACAAAGGAACAAAAACAAAAAGCATGATAAACCCGCTCACACAAGCCCTATATAAAACCCAACCACAAAAGGTAGGAACCCCTGAACCCTAAACCCTAAGCCCTAAAAACGATGAACAACCAAGGCACCCCCGGAAGCCTCGCCGAAGCTGCATGGCCTCTTCTGCCCTCGACTGGCCGTTCACGCGGTCGACCTGGAATAGGTTTGAGGTTTAGGGGTAACCGAATAGGCTTACGGTTTAAGGGTTTAGGGTGTAGCGAATAGGCTTAGGGTTCAGGGTTTACCTGAATCCTACAAAACCTGCATTTTCTGTTGTTGCTGAATAGGCTTTATGTAGCTCCTTAAAGGAACCCTCAACCTGTTTTTTGAACCCAGTCTCTGATCATGAACCCTAAACCCTAAGCCCTATAAACCCTGAAAAGGTAAGATTTTCGGGGTTTGTCACAGGGCTGCGGTAGGGGGGTCAAGATTTGAAGGCTCAGGGGCTACGTCTTCGATTCAGGCCTTGGGCATAGGTGGAGTTCGCTGTCCGGGTAGTAGTCAATTGTCAAGGGTTGGAGCAAGCGAAGCAAACAGCCATGGCATCGAATTGAGGTTGTTTTTCCACTCACGCGGAACCTGTCATCCTGTTAGATGCTAACGACCTGCTTGGGGGTGTACAAAGGGCAGGGTCGTAGCTTCAGTTCACTATACAAATCCTCGGTAAGAGCTTCGAAACGGACTAGGACGCTCAGGTCCCTTGGCCATCACACTTCGGAATCGAACATGGCACTCTGGAATCAAGACAGAGCTGCGAATTCTCATCATCACTCCTCCTTGACGCACGCGCGCGGCTTGCGGCATTTCAACCTTTCGTAGTCAGCTCTTCTTGGCCCATCTGGCCAGCCAATCCGAAGTGGAAGCCCGGGTGGCTAGATCAACCCAGGTAATTTGAGCGCGCCCCGCCAGCTGTTGATGCCTCCACGTGTAGAGGACGTAGCGAAGTTGGCGGGTCGTCGGTAGGAAGTCAGGAGGCGGTTCAGCACCCAGTTGATCCGCAAGCCTCCGGACCAAATCGCATTTGATCCCCGTCACGGGCAATCCCTCAGCCACCAACCCATCCTTCAAGTGCTGCACCGTCATCAGGGCCAGAACGTCCTTCTTGACTCTTTCTCGTTCATGTTGTTCAGGGCTCGGTACCATCCTTGGGACTGCTTCCGGCATCGGTGGAGTAGGAGGTCTGACCTCCCCAAAGACACTTGTCCTTGATCCGCCAGCATTCATTGGGGCTAACGGCCTCGTTG